CGTCGTTTCCCGCGTCAGAAACTGCGGTACCCGGCACCGTCGTTTCCCGCGTCAGAAACTGCGGTACCCGGCACCGTCGTTTCCCGCGTCAGAAACTGCGGTACCCGGCACCGTCGTTTCCCGCGTCAGAAACTGCGGTACCCGGCACCGTCGTTTCCCGCGTCAGAAACTGCGGTACCCGGCACCGTCGTTTCCCGCGTCAGAAACTGCGGTACCCGGCACCGTCGTTTCCCGCGTCAGAAACTGCGGTACCCGGCACCGTCGTTTCCCGCGTCAGAAACTGCGGTACCCGGCACCGTCGTTTCCCGCGTCAGAAACTGCGGTACCCGGCACCATCGTTTCCCGCGTCAGAAAATGCGGTACCCGGCACCGTCGTTTCCCGCGTCAGAAACTGCGGTACCCGGCACCGTCGTTTCCCGCGTCAGAAAATGCGGTACTCGGCGTCGTCGTTTCCCGCGGGAAGGGTTTGTCATAATGATGGTTCACTAATTACCATTTGTGTATGTAAGCCGCCATCTTGGATTGAAGAGGGGTTTTGGATGATAATTATATATTAGATTTTTATAATGATGATCCTCTTAAAGTTAATAACATCCTAATCCTAACAGCCCAATAAAGAAATCGTTATAATGCTATACACGAGTCAACTGTATAATGTCTGTCCTCTAGAGGGTTGATCATATTAATCTACTCTGACTTTGAAAATAAAATGCAGCAATACAAGTTTTCAAATAATCGTCATATCGAAATTGAGACATAGGACAAGGAAAGGTTGCTAGGTAGGTGACTTGTGCTATTTCAAAATGCAGTGACACGATATAGTGCTCAGATATAGCACTGGGCGGCTTTCGTAGCTCAATTCTACAGATATATATAAATGCAGATAACCATTTGATTTCATTCGCGCCCGGGACAAACCGATCGGAAGGGCCTTCTCGTCAACTGTTGTTAAAGGTCTAGGAAGGCGTTTCAAAGCTGAAATAGCAAAATGGATTTGAAAGAATATTCTCAAAATATATCGAACTTCATCGCTGGGAGTTACATCACCTCCTCGCTCACAATAGGTAGAGATCTTGGCCTTTTTGATGAGTTGAAAAAACTTGACAAACCCGTGTCTTCACAGCAGTTAGCAGACGCCTGCAATCTGAAGGAGAGGTAAGCATGTGTCTGCTCTATTGTGTTAGAGATGTTTAATGCGAGTGGTGTTTAATAAGCCCTAAACATACAAAGTGACCATACGGTCAATATTTATCAACAATTTTTGACATTCTTCGGTCACTTTTTTTTTTTTTTTTTAATACGACCTCCCTTACCTTGATTTTCATAAAATCCGTCATAGATAACACACCACTGTTACTCAATTATCGATGTACCCCAAGTATGTCTTGCTGAGCATATAGCTGCTACATTTTCTACATAACTACAGACCAACGCTTTACGAGCTGAAATTAGATGGCCTCAGGACAACGCCCCCTTCGACAGGATCTTACTCTATATTTTTACTTTGGTCATGCTGGACATGTAGTCACTGCAGATCTTAATATTACCTTTACTGTAAAGCTAGGTTAACAATCACGAAGGATACAAAGAGAGACTCCTATCACCAATTGGGGAATTCATGGGCAGATTCTGACGAAGGCTGTGCTAAACTTTGGGCACAGACATGCCGAAGTTGATACATTTTCAGAGCCGGCTAATATACGAGGTCACTCAATACAAAAAGCGAATCATCAGCTTGAAATCCAAAATGAAAACAAAACAAAAGTCTGTATTCAATACCACGATTTCCAAACTACTCTAAACGATCTGCATGATAAGCAAGGACTTGTGGTGACTGACAAACTTCAGCGACAAACCTGATCCTTTTTTGAAAAAGACTATTGCATTTCCTCCTTACAAAGAGAAAAGGCTTGTATAGTTATCAAGGAAATCCCACCAATACATTTGTAAATATTCGAATGAGGAAATGAAAGCTTATCATACTTTTGTATTTTATTCTGTCCCAGTACATGTACCTATCAAATCTAAAAATACGGACTTGTCGCATTGTGTTGGATACCGAAAATCATAAGAACCCTTATCAACAACATTTATCGCTGGCTCTGCTTGTTGTTCAACTAAACAGTTATTGTGACCGAACAATTAAAGGATACAGTGGTAAGATTACGCTTTGTACTGAAGGAGTGGAACAAACTATCCTGACCATCTTTCCTATAGTTAGCTCACATGATTGTTCATGAGAGCTATTGCCAACCGTCTTCGTCCGTGCTCGTGCGTCGTGCGTAAACTATTTACATTTTTGGCTTCTCAAAACAACTGAACCAATTTCGATTAAACTTTGCAGAAAGGCTATCTTATCAAAGCCAAACCAAATTTATGAATTATTTGGATCTAACCCCAAGGGGCCTGAGGAGCGTGGCAAAAAGTGGTCCGATTGGCTAAAACCTAAACAGTCTTCTTCAGACCCCGATATGCTGGAATCAAATACCCGTCACTGTCATAAGGTGCTGTATCAAAATTGTGATTTTCGTTTCCCCCGTGTCATCCATTCTATCTAAAGTTTATTATAGTTTATATTTTGATTTCTTTCAGTGGAAAATAATTTAAAATTGTTTGGAATTACCATCCTGTTATTGCAGTGAGATATAAACATTGATAACTGACTCACCTCCGGGGTCTTAGGGGCGGGGACAGATGAGAAGATCGTAAGGTGCACCTCCGGGGTCTTAGGGGCGTGGACAAAATGGTGGAATCAAATCCTCTTCATAGATGGGAAGATCGTATGGCGCTTTTAATTCTATTTTATACATCACAACAACAAATAACATACATGTTTATTTAAATAACAGGTGACCGTCAAGTCCCATTGGCCTCTTGTCTAACTGTTTGTGCTGTATTAAAGACATATTGTGTTTACTGATCGTGCAATACATATAGACAATATCTGTTAGTTAAGAAACTAGATCAGTTTGTACATATTGTATAGCACTTATTTAGCTTCTTTAAATTGTGTTAATTCCTGACTCGTTGCTTCCAAAGAAGTGTCCTTGCATTTTGTGCTAATCTGAAAATCCAACATAGCCATCCTCGCCTTTCAGTTGCAGGAATTTTTCAAAACAAGTTGTAGTTATTGACTCTAAATCAATGAAATTCATGTGAGCGTTGAGACCTGTTGGGCATCTTGCTATCCCTTTAAGGACATACTTAATTCGCCACCGAATGGAATATATAATTTAGGAGAAAAAAACGAACCTCAAGATTAAGTAGCTGGGCTGTACGATCCGAATATTGATGTAAAACGAGTGGTTATCTCCCTTTGTAAATATGTGCAGGAATGGCTAGACTAACGTACGGCCTGACTAGTGATAATTAACGTGTAATTACCTCCGTTTGCAAGTATGTCCGGCAGTGGCTAGTCTGCACAGTCTAATTAGTGATGTATTAAATGTAATTACCTCCCTTTGTAGGTATGTCCAGGAGTGGCTGGGCTGTATGGTCGCCACCAGGATCGTATCAATAGATACCTCCGACAAATACTTCATCCCTACGTCACTCAAACCGGGACTTCAGGGAATTGAGTTTGCCTTCCTTTTTCCTGTCATTGGTACTTTGACTGCTAAAGCAAAGAAATGCTTCAGAAAGGATGGACCTCGAGGTTAGTGTAGCAACTACCTAGACGAACCTTTTAAAACGCCCAGATGCTACTATGTATATAAGGAACATATGGCATTAGTCTCTTCTACTGAATATAAGTTTCTATTTTCTAATAATATTAATATCCAGGAAAATATACCATAGAACTGACAAAGACAGTTTTAGTTTATAGGGGTAAGGGTAACTTTCCTAATGAATTTCTCAAACCGAACTTTATTTTACTATTTTTTCATGTACAAACCTATAACAATGCATACAAAAGAGAAAAGTGATACTTTAAACAAGGGTTGCCATAACATAAACAACATCGATACAATTCGAGATCCTGAGTCAAACCCGCACCTAGCGGCATAATATCAAGTTAATTGATACTTAGAAATCACTCCTAGGTTACCCCCTTGGTGATGAGCCAGACGAGGTCTTTGACGTCACTGACGACAGGATGTCAGATACAGACACTGTTGTGACCCAGCTCCTGGAGCCAGCCAAGAAACTCACAAGTAAGGTTTTATCGCATTATAACAACTCATAATTGATATTTTATTAATTTTGCTCTAGAGATATTGGCTCCCGACCAATTTGAATTAATTTCAAGCATAATAAGGATGTATCGAATTACATTTAGTCCGGCTTATAGCACTTTTTCATCAAATTGCATTGATCAAACAGAAATTGACAAGTTCATCGTAAAATTCTTGCAAAATGCCGTATATATTCCAAAGACACTTTTTGTCGTTTGGACTTCATAAAAGAGAAATACGCTTAATGCTCTTGCAAAGTGAGGAGTTTATATGACATTGTATTCTCGCGAATAATGAGTCTATCTTTCTCCCGTACAGCGGAGAATTTTTAAATGTATTGCCACTAGAGTAGGATTTTATCACATTTCTTTGTTTTGACATATTATCATTAATCTTGTTGACTCCGCCCAGAGAAAACGCTAGTCTTTATTACTACTCACCCGTGGACTCAAACTCTAATGTTACGATATTTTCCTCTTCAACATGGTATTCCTTGTGATATTGTCTGGAGCAAAATGTCATGTTGTTCACATGTTATTGCTTATATGTAATGCTTTACATGTACACTCACAGAAGTAAGGTTCTGCCGTTGTCTTGATACCCTCACAAGTAAGGGTCTATTACATAATTGTATAACCTCCTCATTTGCAAGTAATGTTCTGTTGTACATGCAAGGCAATGCATATTTTGAAACCGAATAGAGAAAACCTTTATCAATGTCAAACAAACAACGGTACTGTATAAATCTTATATGTGCGCATAGTACTATTCTGGGGTATACTTGTATGTGTAGTGGTATGAAAAACATCACATGAATATATCACGCAAGCAAGATCTTGATCAATGTAAAATCTCTAACGTCAAATTTCATTGTACATTTAGAGTCGATGGTCACCATTCTTGATCTAGGATCCGGAGCAGGATGTTTAACTAGAGCGTTACGCAGGCATTTTCCAGACGCAGAAATATACGGTGTTGACTACAGCGAAGTTGCAACAACCAAAGCCATTGCAGCCGCCAAAGCGGAAGGCATCAAAAACGTGAAGTTTCTAAAAGAGGACGCGACATCTTTACCCGCAGACTGGAAAGGCAAGTTTGACTGGGTGATCTTGTATGACCTTCTTCATGATCTGGCTGATCATGTTAGTGTCATGAAGGAGGTTAATCGCGTCTTGAAGGACGGAGGTGACGCATCCATCACGGACCCGGAAGTACACAGTAACCATAGGGATAACGTCGGTGATAGTTACGTGGCAGGAGTGGGATACGCCCTTAGTTCCGTATCATGTCTCCCACGCAGTATGGCGATAGAAGGTGGAGCTGGATACGGCGTAGGTTGGGGAACCGAAAACAAAGAAAAGTTTTTAACCAGTTCTGGCTGGCAAGTTAAGGACAAACGCCATATCGGAAGTCCTTTGGCTTGCAACTTCACATGTATCAAGGCATAAGAGACAAGAACAAACAGAACGATTTACTCTGTCTGATATATTCCGCTTTATCAATCTGCAAGATGAATCGCCATCATGTTAGGACTATATGCTTTTGTTCCAAGTAACACGCGTGCTTTCTTTTAATAAAGATTTAACTGTTTTTGCCTAGGGAATTTTAAATGATTTTTATAGTACATAGTATACTGTATGTGACTAAATAGCTTTAGACACTGCCGTCCTTGTTATAAAGTAGCAGGACGTTATCACTATAGTCGATATCGCTTTAGCATTTAGCAAGTGCATGTCATATATGGAAAGTAGTATTATCAGATAAGTTTAACTGTGACCTTTTATAATGTTCAAACAGAACACTTATTAGATTTGCTTTATATTTTGAGTGAATTGTTTTTTAAACAGGGTAAGAAATAAAGATTATGTTACCAAAAAAGTGTTATTTTAAAACTGTTTTTCACATTTTCACCTCAACAACATTTTATAAACGGCTAATGTTTTGACCGAAAGTCAATCTTTGTTACGATAATTCACCACATATCATTAATCTATACACAAAATGTAATTTTACACCCTTTGTAAATCTCGAATTGGTTGCATGAATCATTACTTTTAAACGTTTTATCAATTTCCGTTCATAATGTGATACCATTACGCCCCCAGGAAAGATAGTGTTTTGGTCCGTTTGCATCAATCTTCTGGATTCCTTTTCTGCCTAGCTCATGTCCAAAAGGAATGTCGGATATACAAAAACGGGACGTATGTAATTATATTTTATAATATATAAAACTTTATGTAAACAAGGACTGGTATACTGGTCGTCTATATATTACTTTATATCCTGAATAGCATGGTAAGTCCATTGATATCTGTCGTTCTAACACCTACACGTGTTTAAAATCATCAATTAACTAAGTCGGGTTACTACTATACATTTAAAAGCGACGTGCACAGAAAAACAGGTATGCATATCTAAATTTACTATTTGGTAATACCTAGCTTATTGTTTTTATTTTAATTTTGCCGCTGATAAGGAACTTTGTAAGAAATAAATATTACTTCTTTCAATATCTCGTGCACACATAGTTCGCAACCTATGCTTTGTTATGCATTCATGCGTACTCTTAATCCTGAATATATTGTAATGAAATGCAGCACCATTTTATCTCCATAGAAATCAACTACATTATTATAATATTTCTTTTAATCAGTAAAGCACACTAATGAATTACCAGTCTATCAAGATTGAATGAAAGATACACACGTTACGACACCTTTATACATTAGTAATTAACCCCTTAACTTTATGAATTTAAAATACAGATGAGTACTGGGTAATTTCAAAATCATAAACGTGTACAAAGTGTGCGTGTCATGAACCGCGTCACTACTCAAAATCAATACAAGTCGCCATCCATGTTACGACAAACCTCGGGGAACAAGAAATAGTATCGCAGAGTCCACTACCCCGGATCTTGGGTGATGCACGTTAAACATTCACATGGAATTCACGTATACAGTTATCTTGTTATATAAAAAAAATCACACAAATAGTTGTGTAAGCAGGGATGTTAAGTACATTGCAACCTGTTTTCAAGTTTGTTATCTAAAGAGTTTCTCAGACGACCGATAAAGTTTATCAATATTTACGAAAAATAAAAAATGGTTGCTGATTGTGCGCGCTAATCCAAGGACGGATTTCAATGAGCCAATGTACTCCTGATAACGTATCAAAATGATTACATCATCAGAACGCTTTGATTTCAAAGAGTGAGGTCATCACAGAACGTGTACCATACGGTAGCCTTTTGTATCAGTCGATGAAAACATCATTCGAGTTGTTATTTCGCACCACAATTCTTATTTTTAGTTATTTTTTATTAAGTGCGGGAACAAATACGGTGGTTTTGGGGCCCCCATGGCTCAAAGGGTGTTTAGGGTTATAACTAAAATACGACGAACACAACGAAAACAGTTGGGTAAAAATTGTAAAAATACAGCGAAGTAGCCGTGATATTTTCTCCATAATTATGATTAAATAAGATATGGATTACTATTTTATAGAAATTCGTTTGCCTGCACTTTCTTTATTTACACTTTAACTTCCTTCTCGACGACCTCATAATTTCTTCTAGTCTTCGAGTCGAAGGATATGCCGGGCTAATCGAAAGTGGTCGAAGACGATTTTTAAACAACAGTGAATTGGATTGAACCAGATTCTTAATGAAAGAGATGGAGATGCCATTAGTTCAATACTCTTTCTATTAAAAATATTTCATATGTGTACAATGTCCTTTAGGGTAGAAAAGTGATTTTCCCATAACGTGACTGGGTTGAATACCTTGTTTTGTGAGGAAGCACTCTAAAGTCGGCATTACATTCTGGCTATCACAAAGAGGGAAATACATCAACATATGATACCGCCCAGTTAACACGCACATGTTACACAGAGGGAAGCAAGTCATTATATCCTGGCTATCACAAGGAGGGAAACACACCAACATATGACACCGCCCAATTAACACGCACATGTTACGCAGAGGGAAGCAAGTCATTATATCCTTGTTATCACAAGGAGGGAAATACACCAACAGATGATACCGCCCAATTAACACGCACATGATACACAGAGGGAAGCAAGTCATTATATCGTGGCTATCACAAGGAGGGAAACACACCAGCATATGATACCGCCCAATTAACACGTACATGTTACACAGAGGGAAGCAAGTCATTATATCCTGTCTATCACAAGGAGGGAAATACACCAACAGATGATACCGCCCAATTAACACGCACATGTTACACAGAGGGAAGCAAGTCATTATATCGTGGCTATCACAAGGAGGGAAACACACCAACATATGATACCGCCCAATTAACACGCACATGTTACACAGAGGGACGTAAGTCATTATATCCTGGCTATCACAAGGAGGGAATAAAAACACCAACATATGATACCGCCCAATTACAACGCACATGTTACACAGAGGGAAGCAAGTCATTATATCCTTGTTATCACAAGGAGGGAAATACACCAACATATGATACCGCCCAATTAACACGCACATGTTACACAGAGGGAACTAAGTCATTATATCGTGGCTATCACAAGGAGGGAGATATACCCCAACATATGATACCGTCCAATTAACACGCACATGTTACACAGAGGGAAGAAAGTCATTATATCCTGGCTATCACAAGGAGGGAAATACACCAACATATGATACCGTCCAATTAACACGCACATGTTACACAGAGGGAACTAAGTCATTATATCGTGGCTATCACAAGGAGGGAGATATACACCAACATATGATACCGTCCAATTAACACGCACATGTTACACAGAGGGAAGCAAGTCATTATATCCTGGCTATCACAAGGAGGGAAACACACCAACATATGATACTGCCCAATTAACACGCACATGTTACACAGAGGGAAGCAAGTCATTATATCCTGGCTATCACAAGGAGGGAAATACACCAACATATGATACCGCCCAATTAACACGCACATGTTACACAGAGGAAAGCAAGTCATTATATTCTGGCTATCACAAGGAGGGAAATACACCAACATATGATACCGTCCAATTAACACGCACATGTTACACAGAGGGAAGCAAGTCCATAAATGAACTTTTTACTCAATTGACCAAACCAAACTGAACCAATTTTATTTTTACTTGTTGGCAATTTTTTTGTTCTGCCAATTTCAGCGTAAACATATGTATCGACATGTTCATTGTATAAGGTAATAATTGATTCTCTTTTACATTTGTAATTACCTTACGTAACTGTTTGTCGCACTTCGAAAATTGCGCTGGGTCAGGGTTTCTTGGTGTATTTTATGTAGATATAAAGGCTGTTTACATTGGTTTTTATATGAAAATGTGCCTTTATGCAATTTTGATATTACCCTAACCCGTTTGGAGCCTCCGAAATTCAAACGTGTGGACAAGCTGTTTAATGTGTAATGCAAAAACAAAAACCACAGCATACACCCAGAAAAAGAAGACCAATATATGAAGGAGAACGTGTAGCAAACGACCTTTTCTTTTTTATTTAAAAGCAACTCACCATCAATATATCATTGTCAAACTGAGGAACAAACAGGTATTAGTTACCTGAAAGACTAATGATTATAGATTACCTCCATTTTATATTCACGCATTGCTATATTTAGATGGTAAATTTTACTATCAAGCTGCAAAGAATGTCAACTCAATTGCATTAGAAGAGTGAAAAATGAGCCTGAATGGTTTCCAGGCGCACGACTAATACTGTAACACAACAGTATCAGATCACTCTCTTTAAACCACTACAGCGTGTAGTAGCACAGCGAATGTTTTGTTCCATATTTTTTTTTAATCAAGTTGTCGATCGGAAAATCAGCTGTTTCATAGTTTGTTAATGTATGGTAAATAGAGAAGATGATAAAATGTACATTGAATAAAACAATATGTACAAAAATTAGGTTACAAACTGGTATACGTGCATGCATGCACATTGTGCGTGTTGGACAAGGATGGTTAAACATATCACCACTGTAGACCATAATGGACTGATCAAGATCAACGCACGGTAAAGTGTTCTTAAGCTAAATAGGGGTGAAAGGGTTGAATGTAAATAAAAATAACAGGTTACGTAATCAGTGCACTGTGTGATACTGGGGTTGGGAACAGGAAGGGTGTCGGCGACATGACGGGTCTGCGATACCTAGTGACACTAAAATTTGCTGTACTGTACTTATTTCGAACGGAACAACTAAGAACAAGTAATTAATCGTCTGCCTTTCTTTGGCGGGTTAGCCTTTTATGCGAAAATTTCATATATCTGTGTGCCAATTATCAAACAAATCTTCAATTTATATTTTGATTGTAATATATATATATGTTAACATCTCGAAGCTGCTGGGGAGGAATCTTGAAAAACAAATGGAGGACAAAGAACAACATTCCGTAATACCTCCGATATGGACTTATCGTAGGTTTGTTCGCTTTTTAATTAAAACGTATTTGCTACATTGTTTTGTAGCTATCCGTTTAATTATCTGACCGAACCAATCGTGAAAACTGCTCTTACATTCTTCTTGCAAAGTTAAGATGTTGGCCTATGATAGATAACTAATTATTCC